AAAAAGTAATGGGTATTTCTGTCCTGAAAGACAAATGCCACTGAAATACCAGGTTGCCAGCTTGTGTCTTTTGCTATTTAAGGAATTTAGGGAATGTTTAGATTATCCCATTCCCAGTTCAGTTTGACTTGTTCATTTTGGTATGTTTGTCCTTAATATGCCTTTGAAGCTATATTGTGTTGTTTCCTGCACCTTTGCAGAGACGAGGACCAGGCTGTCAACTGCTGACTTGTGTCATTTCTGGATTTTTAGAATTTCATTTTTTTCAATTTTCATCTCTAGATGTTTGACTTGACTCATTTCATACTTTAAGCACCCACAATGACCAAATTGTAAACTGACCAAATTTAAATTATTGTGAGACATAAATAGACCTGACATACAAATACAAATTTCTAAATCCTAGTTCCTGGATATTGTTCTGAAAGCTCCATAACCTATCTTGTATATTATATAATCAAACAGATTAAACAGGACTACTCACATCAAGCTGGACAGAGCAGCCCCGCAAGACAAGCTGTAACAATTAGATATTTTGCTCTGTCACATTTGTTGGTCTTGGAGAATTTGTCATCTTCTGATTTTGACTTTTGTTGGAATGGGTTAGAAAACGAAAAACTCAACAGCAAAATATAAATGTTTTGAATTTCAGAAAAAAAGTGATAAACGTTCTTTTTTATCGAAGTGATAGCATGTTTCAGGAAGGAAATTTCTTTCATTTTAAACATTTACTGCTAACCTTTTTCCCCTGCTAAATTAAGTATCCAGCCATGATGATGCCATTTCAAATTGAGAATAGTCAAATAATCAAGTTTATTATGATTTTCATTTCAACGTAACTAATCAAAGAGTGAAATATTACAACCCAAGTTACAACATACAGACAGTGTAATTGCATTGGGAAATAGATTGTCACAGATGAATTATAAGAATGTGTCAAAATCGATTTGAAAGTGTCAGGCAAATTTCTTTGTATTTGGTTGACCTTGCCCTTATCCTGCCAACTCCCCAAACAATTTGCATTCAACCATATTGTTCTATGAGTATAGTACCATGATTTCATATGTATACTGGGATTGGATTTTTCACTAGAGCTAGTGTTTGACATGATTGTGGAATGTGTAATCAGGTTTGTGTGAATGTTTATTTTAGCATGTTGATGTTCATGAACTAACATCAAAATAGCCTGGATACGTTTGGGTGTACGCTGATTGGAAAGCTCCGTTATTCAGCAGGTTTTCTTTCTGTAAACATTTGACTTTTAAGAATATCTCTTTATTGCACAGTTTTTAATGGTCAATTAAGTTAATTGAAAAGGTAAAAGTTGCAGAAGAATCTGGTAAAGAAGATCGATCTCAACATCAGAAGGGTTTTTTTGGCGATGGTAATGATTTTCTTCCAGTGAGGAATCCTGGGTAGTCCTCTTGGATTGGCGAAAGCTATCGCTGGGAAATTGCCCATACTAATTACGTTTAGCACACGGTATGATATCGAAATTACAGTTGTCAAATTCCTGCAACTTATCATCTTTGGGAATCGGAATGAGGTACTTGTTGCAAGATTGGATCCCAGTTCGATAGGAGTTATTTGACAGATAGATCTTAGAGTACATTTCAAGTGGACATTGCTGCGAAATAGAACCAATCATGCAGGAGAGGTCAGGGGTGAAAGTTAAGGGAGAATTCATTAAATTGGTGCGTAATGTGTCAAATTTGACATGCACTGATCTAAGATAGGAGGTTAGGGGACCTGTTGTTTCTAACAGGACAATTAAATTGATTGATGGTACGGGTCAGGAGAAGTATCAAGTTGAGGAGTGATTTCTTCCACTATGCTGTATAACTAGTCTCCCACATGTCATAACTAGATGCCGTTATGGTTATATGTATTTGATTAAGATTGGTGGAGAAATGCTCGCCTTTGATGGTGATTCAACCATTGCAAGCTCAGCCTTGTGCAAATATTCGATTTATAACCAGCCTATCTGTAAATATTCTTAAAGGTTTGACTTAATAATTACTGTTTTATTCCTAAATTCTAGCAAATCGGTAAGGAAATACATAGTGGTTTACTGGCATTGTGACCATTCTCCAAGACTAATCTGTCATCAGCATAAATTCTTGCCTGAATAAACATGGAGGGGAAAGTAAAGTCAAATTACTTTGGTTGAAGTAGTCAGAATTGTGATATACTGGTGTATGAGAGACATATAAATTATCACATGCGACTGTCCGGTGTGAGATGTTTGGTGATAAATATTCAGATTGGGGACAATAAATAGTGCATTATTGATGCCAACGGGGGACTAAAGCAATTTGGTGCAGACATTTTGAAGAGAAAGGAGAACAAACATGGCTGATTGTCACGTGGCACTGTTACGAGATTTATTGCCCGCTTGTGATATATGTTATGGTTCAAGCTATCATCATTAGATATGTGTAATGTTGCAGAGTAGCTGTGTTAGCTGTGCTGGGAGTTAAGTGTAAAACGTGCAGTATTTAGATATTATTACTTAGACGACGCTAGCATCTTCAAAGGATTGACCTGTTGCAATTATCGTGTGTTACTTCGGGAACATTTTTATTCATGTTAGTTGTTTCTTCTCAGCAAAAAAGGTGAAGTGGATATTGTGTCCCAGATGAATACATATATTAGAAAGACAGCAATTACAATCACAAATGTGAATGAGTTAAGTTTGGTAAATGCTGCAGTCAATGAGTGAGTGAGTTTAGTTTTACGCCGCTCTCAGCAATATTCCAGCTATATGGCGGCCTTTTTAAATAATCGAGTCTGGACCAGACAATCCAGTGATCAACAACATGGGCATTGATCTACACAATTTGGATACGATGACAACCAAGTCAGCGAGCCTGTTAGTCGGCTCTTACGACAAGCATGGGTTGCTGAAGACCAATTCTAATCCAGAGCTTCACGGGTCTACTGCAGTCAGCTAAAATTGAGTGATAAATATGTGGTCTGTAACTAAATCATATTCTGCTGATACATTGGGGATGTTTTGAAAAAATACGCTAAATCATCAGAGTACAGCATCACACAATCAACTAAATTGTAAAACTTCATTCACATGCAATGGCAGTCAACTGCATCAAAGTGCTGTCTTCATAGTTATTATTACGTCAATTATCTAGTAAATTGTGCAGCTAGAGTAATGTGATTTTTTTGTTCATGGTAAAAATCAGTTTTAGATACAATTTCTTTGGATAAAACTTTCAGTTATATTTTTGGGTATTTCATGATGGAATCTGGGAAGCTGATTCCTGTCTCCAGATTGGTTCCTGAGACCAATACACATGGTAATCTTAATATCATGTGAATGCTGTAGATGTCTTTGCATCTTGCATTGAAAACAATTTTTTATGAAAATAGGGGACTGTTATCACTGTATTTAGCATTCCAACACAGCAAAACAACCCTATTACCATCTCAGCACGATACCACAGTTACTACACTAATTGTGTTACCCATGAAGAGCCATGTTAGAATTGGTCTGAAGCAGCCCATGCTTGTCACCAGAGGTGACTAACGAGATCGGGTGGTCTGGCTTGCTTACTTGGTTGACACATCTCAACATTTCCCAGTTACGTAGATTGATGCTCATGCTGTTGATCAGTGGATTTTCTTGTCTAGACATGATTATTTACAGACCACCAAATAGCTAGAATTTTGCTGAGTGCAGCATTAAACAACAAACCAACCAACCAACCAACCAACTACTTGTTACTGATGCCAACTAACGGTCATATTTCACAATACCTACCGGTATGTCTCAGGACAACCCATGTCACAATCAAGATGGGGCGGTGAGGTACCATAGTTGTTATAAAAGTTGCTCGTCATGCCAAAGACCCGGGTTCAATTCCCCACATGGGTGCAATGCGTGAAGCCCTTTTTTGGTGTCCCCTGCCGTGATGTTGCTGGAATATTGCTAAAAGCGGCATAAAACCAATCTCACTCACTGAATCACTCACAATCAAGACATCCATGTAACACTTACGACAATCATGTCCCACCATGTTTCACTTAAGATGTAAAAGGTGTAAAACCCAACCCACTCACTAACTGTTCTACTGTAGACATCCATGTCCCACTTTGGACCACCATATCTAACTGCAGACCTAGTGGTTAAGGCAGTTCGCTTGTCAAGCCAAAGATCCAGGTTGAATTCCCCACATGGGTACAATGTGTGAAGCCCATTTCTGGTGTCCCCTGCTGTGATATTGCTGGAATATTGCTAAAAGCTGCGTAAAACTAAACTCACTCACTCACTCATTGCACCCGAAACAACCATGTCCCTCTCTTGACCACTGTGCTTCCTGCCATGAACACCATGGCTCAGGAGAAATTAAGACACATACCAGACATTGCTTTGTTGGGAGTTGTGTATAATTCCCTTAATGATATTGACTGGTGCTAAATTGCTGGCTAATTTTCAAAAGCGGTGTGGTTGAGAATCGCCACCTCTATTCAGCTGAACAGCTGCAGTTTTACCTTATAAGCCATTGGTGTTACACTGATGGCTTTTAGGAGCTAGAGTGACAATATTTAGGTTGTACTTTCTAGTGCAGTGTAACTACAAGAACATATACTGGTTTGATGGCCTGTTTACCCCAGTATCTAGTTGGTTCATTGGTGTGAGGGGCGGTGGGGTAGCCTAGTGGTTCAAGCGTTCGCTCATCACGATGAAGACACGGGTTCCATTCCCCCAATGGGTACAATGTGTGAAGCCCATTTCTGGTGCCCCCCACCGTGATGTTGCTGGAAAATTGCTAAAAGTGGTATAAAACTACTCACTCACTCACTCACTCACTCATTAGTGTTATAGTCTAGGCATCCACCACCATGACAATGCTGGAATATTCCTGAAAGCGGCCTATTAAATACGCTGTGTGTTTTAACAACGATATAATTAGTTTTGATTTTGATTGTAAGTGGTAACCTCCATATCACTTTGTATCTAAATGGTACATTTTGTGTTTCAGCAAAAGGTGTGGAACCTCGGTTTAATGTTGTGGCGAAGAACGTGACTGTGGTGACTGGACAGACAGCCGTTCTACCCTGCTCCGTGGACTTCCTTGGGGAGTTTAAGGTAAACGTGTTGCCATTGAACCATAACTGGAAATAAACATGTGACTTTTATATGGACTTCAAGGAATGACCTAATTTTAATAATAAAGACAATTTCATCAATACAATTATCAGATCTCAGTTGGCGAAAAAATTTATTTACAGATTTACTGAATTCATATGACTATTTCTTGCTATACATCCTGCATCCTACAGTTCTTTTGTATGTGCACAGCTCCAACAGTGTTGTCTTTGCAGCTGTTGACAGTAAACTGGTAAAAAAAAAAAAAAAGATGTAGTTTCCTTTGATCTTGAAAATCACTGTGCAGATTTAATAACAAATCAACTGAGACTAACTTTACAACTTTTGCTCACTCTTTTATCAGTGTCGAGAATATGAATAAAATATAACACCACGTCATGATAACATTCCTCATGATAATAATCCTTTGAAAACCCACACAGACTAATACATGATTTGAAGGAAAGTTCCTGTCAGGTGCTACATGATATTCAGAGAGCTCTTCATAGCATTTTCCTGACGACTGATGGTAGATGTCAGTGTTGTCAATGTAAATGTTATTGTCAGTGAGAAGGGTCTTGTAAGGAATCTCCCCTAATCTTGTAACGCAGATGACTTGTGAGACGTTTTCTTGGAAACATCTACTCCATCAAAAAGGCATTTCAGGGTTATGTTGTCAATCCATAGATTTGGGATGAATTAGGGTGGGGTGATGATTCCCAGGACATTACAAATGACCAGTAGTTGTCAGGTGGATAGTCTGTCAAGAAGCAACTGCAGCCATCTTTCCTCATTTTGAAGCTTTACCATTGAAGGCTGGACCCATGAGATTGGCTTTCCTTACTAAACTGACGGATTCTGTCACCACTCTTCGTATTTGTTGCTCTTGAGAGCCTAGCAAAGATGCTGGTAGTCTTCTGTTGACGAATCAAATGCAATTATACTCTTTACGTCCTTTTCAACTCCCAAATGTTTGTAATTTGGTCATCTTCATCCATTTTGTGCCATGATGGTTTGCAAACAAATTTACATGAAACATTTTGTATTGATTTGTTGATTTGCTAGATGTATGGCAGTCCGGCAAGAATGTCATTGACAAATGCTGGAATCAGCGGCGTGGTATCAGTGATAATGGGGACATGTCTCTAATGGTGTAATTGATGGGGAAATCTGCCATGTCATCCTGGCTTATCAGTAAAGGCATGTTACATTCAGGAATTTGTAGAATGAAATACACCCACTCATACAATTTCTCCCTAATATCGTATTTTATTTGTGTAGGAAGTTGTTTTAGCTTAAGTTAATACTTGCAAAGTGATGTTTATGGTTATTTGTTGTTAAATGCTTCACTCAGCAAAATTCCTGCTCTATGACAGCTCAGAACAGATTGGATCAGTAACACATGGTTAAATTCATAATGGTCATCATTTTTGGTCTCCCACCATGATAGTGGCATAAAACTAAACTCACTCACTCTTAATGGTCATATCTCAAGGTTCAAGGGACAAAGGTACTCAGTTTCAGTACAATTTGCTTTTCGTTATCTAGGGTGGAAATCAAGGTGGCCAAGTGGATAAAGTGTTCATTCATGAGGGCTCATAATGTACTAGTATAAGAGCCCATTTCTGTGTCCCATTTCATCATATTACTGGGTTATTGCTAAGAGTGACCTAAAACCATACAAACTCACTCATAGGGTATCCGAAACCAAGGGTTATATTTTCAATTCCGGGAAAATAACTGGTAGTTTGTGGTAGCACTGATCCACAATTACCACACTCACCCACTCTGTCAGATAGATGAACAAAATATACTTTATTGTCACACAAATTTTGCCAAATAATGACAGCTTTTTAGTTGATCTTTTGTGATCTTAACCACCAGTACTGAAGAGCCTGGTAACAATGTTTCTTTAGAAATTGAAATTTGCTCACAACATTCTCAAATATTTGAGGACAACCAATACGATTTTGAAATATTTGTGACAGAAGATTGTATCAAAAAATCCCATCTTGGTCTCCACATTATAGTGCAACACAAATAGTGTTATTCCTGCAAGCCACTTGTTGTCTTTCAAGGCATGATTTATCGTCAATAATCAGGGTCATTGTAGAGCAGTTCTGCAGAACCCGCTGTGTTCAGTAATGGCCTCTTTCCACAACATTGGGCCTGTAAAATAGCTACCTTCTAAAAAAATATGTCTGTTTGATTGCTCAATTTATTTCTCATATGTTGGTTGGTTTGGGAGATTTCACAACATTATCAATCAAAATCACTCTGATATACCCCAGAAATTCACTATTTTATTGTGAAACTGATGACAGTTCTATTAATGACCTTCCTTTCTTTCCTCTCATGATATCTGACTGATATTTTTATGTTAAGTGCTTCTGTAAAGTCTTTAAACATGCATAATACAGATTTAATATCATGTCTTAATTAATATTTACTGAAATCCATTGAATTAGAAAAATGTGTTAATCAACCGAACAATCCTCCCAGGACATGTTTTAGTATGAATAGATAAAACACTTTATCGTGTTGATAAGAGAAGAGGGTGTTGAATATGATATGAAGAAATTTTGACTTTACAATTTTTAAATTATTAATAAATCACAATTTCCCATGGCCTGACAGCAATGCATTCATAGCATTTGAGGTATTAACAGTCTCCAACAGTGTTGAGGTATGCCACTCTACACTAATTACAGTATCAAACAGCGCAATAAAAGGCAATATATGCCCTGTCAGCCATTATGAAATTGTACAATTTTTTCTTATGCAAAATTCACCTTGCTTGAAGGACATGATAATTTTATGGCAGCTGTTCCAACTGACACAATACTTTAATGATAGGCGTTCCACTCCCGAATAGTGCAGCAATAGTGTTTCTATCGGACACAGTACTTCTATGATAGGTGTTAGACCACTCATAGTGTTTAAAGTCTAACAGTACTATTCCTACAGTAAAGTTGCTTTAAGGCTCTCCAAGAAGAACTCACGCCTGTAACATCTAGTGTTGGGAATTGGTTAAAATGTCATAATTGATGATTGGTTCATTACCACCGATCAATCATCGAATATAATTGGTTAGCGTCATTTATGAAATTTTTTAATGCACAAAATATAAGGAAAAAACGTACTTAATTTTTCCTTATCCTGACTCATGCTCTTTTGCTTGTCTTCTTCTTCTTGCGAACATAGTGGAACACTTGTATCTCCCTAATTGAAGCTCCCTTCAATTTAAAATCACTAATTAGTATTCACCACGAAGTTACCTCCTTTCCACAAGCTGGCGGGAGCGAGGGCCACCTCTACCCATGTGCCTCACTCTCTCCTTCTTCGTCCAGTGAGCTGGGCGTGAGAGCCTCTGTGTCTCCCGACACACTATATCCTTTGAATTATATTTAGTTAGTTACCTCGTATAGACATCTATAGAGGTTTAGCTAGTATCCTTCAACGATTATATATTGATATTTAGTCGCTTTTCTACAGTTTAGTCACGGACGCCGTGGTTTGTTTTCAGTGGATTACGTTGATGAAAATTCTGTACTATTGCAGATTACGCTTTTTATGCTGCTGCTGATCCGCCTTTAATATGATGTACGCAGCCATGTTTATTATATTCACATTGCAGTTGCGGTACAAATTTATCCAATTCTACCTTTTATTAATATTTACTTTGGCGCTTTAAGCACGCACAGCAGATAGGTCGCTGTATGCAGAGTCTAGTATGACTGATACACCGGAACCCCTCAGCCAGTCTACTGCTGTTGGCCGACTTCCTCCCGTGTGTGGTGTTCCGCTAGAGTGGTGGAGAGGTGTGGGGACGAGTCCGCCATCTCCAAGAAGCATCCTGCTTCCCCAGACATCCCATCGCCGCAGCAGAAGACTAGGGGTTTTTCTACTACATCTCAACAACGAGACCGTTCCCATCGAAGTTTGGGCCTGTATGATGATCAGCCGGTCATCATACGGATGTACATCAAAGATTGACCGATGTCGGCACAGATCAGCATGCAGCCTGATGTACCAACGCAGATATGCGATGATCGTCCTGAGGGTCCCATCATTACCAACACTCAACGCAGACGCCGCGACACCCAGGGCAGCGCCGACCTCTGAGGGAAAATCAACGAAGTCTACTAGGACTTTCAACCGAGATTGTTCCAGCCGATGACCTGGACCTCTCACGATGATCAGCTGATCATCATCCCCGACGACGCCACAAGAAACGACCGGTGACAGCTACAGCGACATCAGCAGAGATCACCATGCAGCCTGATGCCTCTACACTGATGTCGGACGATTTTCCGGTGGACCCCTCCATTAACACCGCAGATTAAGCACCGACGACCCTCGCCGCAGACCATCCCAGAAGACATGATGCGACAAATTATGAACATCATGGAGGACCAATATCTCGCGGTAGCAGGGTCCGAAGTTCGCGAAGGCTCCAAACGTAGACAGCACCCCCAGAGGCACCCCCGTCCAACGTAGCAGCCAGGGCGATGTCACCTTCGCGAAGGAAGTCCGCGGACCACCTTGACGAAGGACCTAGATGTACAGCTTTCGCGAAGGCCTTCGCAAAGCGGAAAGGACCTAGATGTACAGCCTTCGCGAAGGCGGAAAGAACCTAGATGTACAGCCAGCGAAGGACTTCGCGAAGGCAGGATAGATCATCACCTTATGCGGTTTCATCCCTAGATGTGGACTCGGACCATCAGACATCAGGGAAGCCTTCGCGAAGGTCATATCGCCGTTCCCCGGACCGGGCGCAGAGGAAGCTTCGAAGGCATGCGCGAAAGGACACCTGAATCCAGATCATCATCATCTAGAAGGACATCGAGGGACTATACAAGAGCTTCGCGAAACTATCAACGTTCCCCTCACAAGTCTCCGAGAAGATCAACCCATAGACAAGTTGATCATCGATATCAAGTATAAGAACTACAATCGTATATTGGTTCTGTTGAATCCATGACGAGACGTATGTTCGC